GTGTGTGTGTGTGTGTGTGTGTGTGTGTGTCTTTTTCTCTCCTTTTCTCTCTTACTCCCCATATCCTTCTCATAGAGAGGGAGAGAATTTGGGAGGTAGAGGGAAGTGAGAATGGGACGGAACAGAGGACTATCCTGGTCCCCTGGCCTTCAGTCCCTCTGAGACAAGCCCTTTCTCCTTCCCCCACCCCTTCAGTATTCGTTCCAAGATGAGCAAGAAAAGCCTTTGCCTGTCCCCAGCAACCAGTGTTGTAAGTACCTCTTGATTCTTCTTGGGCATCCGCTGAAACCCTCATCCTTCCCCTACCCCATGACTGTCCTGTCTAAAGACTCCTCCCCTCCAGAGATACAAAGTCCTGAGAGTGCAGTGTCCACTTACAGTGTATTAGAAGTTAGAGTTCTGAGGCTGGGCGTGGTGGCTCATCCCTGTAATCCCAGCACTTTGGGAGGCCAAGGTCAGGAGTTCAAGACCAGCCTGACCAACTTGGCAAAACCCCGTCTCTACTAAAAATACAAAAAAAAAAAAAAAAATTAAACAGACATGGTGGTGGGTGCCTGTAATCCCAGTTATTTAGGAGGCTGAGGGAGGAGAAATCCTTGAACCCAGGAGGTAGAGTCTGCAGTGAGCTGAGATCACGCCATTGCACTCCAGCCTGAGTGACAGAGCAAGACTCTGACTCAAAAAAGAAAAGAACAGAAAAGGAAGGAAGGAAAAGAGAAAGAAAGAAAAAGAAACAGAGAGAGAGAGAGAGAGAGAGAGAGAGAAAGAAAGAAAGAAAGAAAGAAAGAAAGAAAGAAAGAAAGAAAGAAAGAAAGAAAGAAAGGGAGAGAAAGAAAAGAAAGAAAGCTAGCTCTGAGACTTGGGCTTGATTCCCACCTTGCTACAAAGGAAGGAAAAAAGAAAGAAAGACAGAGAGAGAAAGGAAGGAAGGAAGGAGAAAGAAGAAAGAGAGAAGGAGAGAGAAAGGAAGGGAGGGAGGGAGGAAGGAAGGAAGAAAGGAAGGGAGGAAGGGAAGGAGGGAGAGAGTTCTGAGACTTGGGCTTGATTCCCACCTTGCTCTGTGGTCCTGAGCAGGCCAGTGTCCCTCTCCAACATTTAGGGACCTTCTCTTTGAAACAGCACATCTGACAGACCCACACTCTGAGGGCTACTGGAAGGATCTGGGACATCTAGAGACATGAGAAACACTTTGTAGATGCGTCACTTCCATTCATCACATCCTGGATGAGGACATAGAACTCATTCAACAAACTAGTCATGGGGCCAGCACAAACCCCAAACAGCCCACACTCAGACGTTGCAGACAGAAACAGATGGAAGATGTGCCAACACACGTACAACAGGTGCACCTACAACAGACAAAGGCTGTTTCATTCACCCATTTTCTTAGATGGAGAAACTGAGGCCCAAGAGGTGATGTTGCCTACGGCCACACACTCAGCAAGTGGCAGAGCCAGGATTTGAACCCAGGTCTGAGGGACTCCAACTTTGCTTCCCTTTCCACCACACCCTGTCTGTTAATTATGATGATGAAAATGTTCCTCTTCCTATTTCCAACAAGGCTGCAGCCGTCAAGATTTTTTATCTCCCTGGGCCCTGTGGACACTCAGATGCAGCTGGACCAGGTCTTTTCATGGATGGAAGAGCTGTCTCCCTCCTTAAAATACCTTCCCATTGCTCTGTGGTGGAGAGGAAGTAGCAAACCATACAGCATCAGGGCACAGCTCCCACCTGCTGACACCAAAACCCCACTTCACTCTTGAGCCTCCCTCTCCTTTTCCATTAACTTTCTTTTCTTTCTTTCTTTCTTTCTTTCTTTCTTTCTTTTTTTTTTTTTTTTTTGGAGATAGAGTCTCACTTTGTCACCCAGACTGGACTGCAATGGTATGATCTTGGCTCACTGCAGCCTCTGCCTCCTGGGTTTGAGCGATTCCCGTGCCTCAGCCTCTTGAGTAGCTGGTATTATAGGTGCATGCCACCACGCATAGCTAATTTTTGTATTTTTAGTAGAGACAGGGTTTCGCCATGTTGGCCGGCTAGTCTGGAATTTTTTGCGTCATGTGATCCACCGGCCTCAGCCTCCCAAAGTGCTGGGATTACAGGCATAATCACCACGCTCTGCTCTTTTTTCATATCCTTTTTCATCTTCCTTTTCTCCCCTCTCACCGTCTTTCCTGTATCTGCATCTCCCCTACCATGTGTCCAGGAGAGTGGTAATTGAGCCAGAGGTGGGGAGGGCTTGGGGACTGCAGCTGGGGAGACACTGTTTCTACACTGACTTGGGGTGTGATATTGAGAAAGTCCCTCGGCTTCCCTGGCCAGGGAGGGGCCATCACTGCCTGGAAGGAATTACAAACACCCTCCCCAGTGAATGCGGTCACTGAGAGGTTGCAGCGAGGTGGGGCCAGGCATAGTGGAGGCAGGAAGGCAATGGCAGAGGGCCCCTGGGTGGATGGACTGGAGCCAGGGGCAGGTTCAATTTGGGGAATGGAGCCCACCACTCAGTATTTACCCACAAGTAAATACTGGGAGTGTTTTGTCACCCCCATTTCCCAGAAAAAGCAGCCAGTGGCCAGAAGAGCCAGGTTTCTGGCCCAGGACATTTTTCTGAAGTGCCAGGTACTTCACATGATAGGCAAAGTTGGTTCTCGCCCTGGCCCTGATACACAGAGGCTGTGTGACCTTGGGCTGCTCACTCCATCTCTCTGAGATCCATTGTTTCACCTATAAAATGAGCAGAATGATAAAATCCACCCAACAAGGGTGTTTCAAAGCTTAGGGTTTCCAATTTAGTGTATCTTTCCTTATTCAAAAGCAGGGAGAGGAAAAGGGTGGAGGCTGTTAACCCGAGACTTTACAGTCAGAAAACACTGGGCCCAAATACCCACTTTGTTACTTCCTGACTGTGCCTTTCCTCATTGAAAACTGAGCCAGGCACAGTGGCTCATGCCTGTAATCCCACTACTCAGCCTCACTCGAGACCAAGAGTTTGAGACCAACCTGAGCAACATAGAAAGACTCCATCTCTACACAAAAAAACGCAAAGAAAAACCACCAAAAACCAAAGCATTAGCTGAACACAGTGGTGCGTGCCTGCAACCCCAGCTACTCGGGAGGCTGAGTGGGAGGATTGCTTGAGCTTGGGAATTCGAGGCTACAGTGAGCCATGACTGCACCACTGCACTACAGACTGGATGACACAGCGAGACGCTGTCTCAAAAAAAAAAAAAAAAAAAAAAGAAAAGAAAAGAAAGAAGAAAAGAAAATTAAAAAAAAAAACAAACAAACAGGGATATACCACCTTCCTCCCAAGGTGGAGAGCAGAGACAGAGCAAGTGTCAGCAACAAAAATGATACCCACGAAGGTACTCAGGACAAGAGGGCTCCCGCCTTGGGGTGCAGGGAGGAGATGGGGAGAGTGAGGAGGACGACAGGGGAGCCCCCCCTCCCCACACCCACCCCTCTCTCTGCTCCCTTTTATTATTTCTACCCCTTCTCTTTGTAGGCAACTGGAATTATTTTGGCTGGGGTGAGCAGCACAGTAAGTACTCAGCCTGAATGATGTTCTGGGAGGCCCATGGGAAGGTGGGCACCTTGGTGATCCCAAGGCTGCTCCGCACTACCACACAGGGAACCAGGGCACCCATGACCAGCATGTGGGGGCCAGAGGGCTTGGCAAGACCCCTCCCAACTCTCCTGCACCCTCTTCATTAGCGCCTGTCTTGGGAGACCTGCTCTCTGCTGGGGAGTGGGCACCTTATTGGGGTGGGGGGGCTCAGCCTGAAGGGTTGGACATTTAGACCAAACACCTGCCTGTCTCAAGCTGGGCACTGTGACCCCGCTTCTGCCATCCCCCCTGTATAACCTCACCTCCTCTCCTTCAACCCCTCTGCCTTTTGGTCTTCCTGTCTTCCTCTTCCACCTGGAAATGGGCCCAGGGCCACTCAGAGGGTAGTGGGTGGGCAAGGAGAGGGTCCCCAACAGAGGGGCGGGCCAGGGACCTCAGGGAGATGCACACCAGGGACCTCGGCATCCCCCCAGGCTCCACCCACACTCACACCTCACCTCCCACCTTTATTTGCTCTTGCAGGGAAGAAGGCAAGCCACCCCCTCCCTAAATTAAATGGCCATTTTTCTACCTAAAACAGTCTGCAACCTTTTTGACACCAGGGACCAGTTTCATGGAAGACAATTTTTCCATGGACTTGGGGGTAGGGGGGATGGTTTCCGGATGATTCAAGCGTATTGCATTTATTGTGCACTTTATTTTTATTATTATGATGTTACAGTATATAATGAAATAAGGATACAACTCACCATCACGTAGAAGCAGGGGGAGCCCTGAGCTTGTTTTCCTGCAACTAAACAGTCCCATCTAGGGGTGATGGGGGACACTGACAGATCATCAGGCATTAGATTCTTCTTTTTTTTTTTTTTGAGACAGAGTCTTATTCTGTCGCCCAGGCGGCTGCAGCACAGTGGTGTGATCACAGCTCACTGCAACCTCTGCCTCCCGGGTTCAAGCGATTCTCCTGCCTCAGCCTCCCGAGTAGCTGGGACTACAGGCACCCACCACCACGCCTGGCTAATTTTTGTATTTTTAGTAGAGATGGGTTTCACCATGTTGGTCAGGCTGGTCTCAAACTCCTGACCTCGTGATCCACCCACCTCAGTCTCCCAAAGAGCTGGGATTACAGGTGTGAGCCACTGTCCTCTCTTCTATGGATAAATTTGCCTCCTTCTCTCTCCTCCACCAGCTGGGGAGTTCTTCACTTCTTTCTCATATCTTGGTGGACAAACCTAACTCCAGGACCAGGGAAACTGTTGACAAACCCTTTGGTCCACCACAATTTATCAAAAACAAGTTGGTTAAAAATCAATCTAGAGGCTGGGCACAGTGGCACCCAGCACTTTGAGAGCCGAGGTAGGCGGATCACCTGAGGTCAGGAGTTCAAGACCAGCCTGACCAACATGGAGAAACCTCATCTCTACCAGAAATACAAAATTAGCCGGGTGTGATGGCGTAGGCCTGTAATCCCAGCTACTCGGAAGGCTGAGACAGGAGAATCACTTGAACCCGGGAGGCGGAGGTTGCGGTGAGCCGAGATCTCGCCCTTGCACTCCAGCCTGGGCAACAGGAGCGAAACTCCATCTCAGAAAAAATCAGTTCAGGCCAGCCACACTGGCTTACACCTGTAATCCGAACACTTTCGGAGGCTGAGGTCTGAGGGTCGCTTGATCCCTGCCTAAAGTTTGAAATCAGCCTGGGCAATGGAGTGAGACCCCATCTCTAAAAAAAAAAAAAAAAAAAAAAAAAAAAGCCAGTTGTGGTGATTCGTTCCTATAGTCCTAGCTATTTGGGAGGCTGAGGCAGGAGGATTGCTTGAGCCCAAGAGGTCAAGGCTGCAGTGAGCCATGGTTGTGCCACTGCACTTCAGCCTAGGAAACAGTATGAGACCCTGTCTCTAAAAACTAAATAGATTTAAATAAATAATAAAATCAATTTCTCCAAAATGAATGCTTGGCAGACAGAGCAAGCTCGGTAACAACCAACTTGACACAAACAGTATGGTCAAAACCACAGACAGGCTGGGCACGGCGTCTCACACCTGTAATCCCAGCACTTTGGGAGGCGAGGCAGGCAGATCACTTGAGGTCAGGAGTTCAAGACCAGCCTGGCCAGCATAACGAAATCCCGTCTCTGCTAAAAATACAAAAATTAGCCAGGCATGGTGGCGTGTGCCTGTAATCCCCGCTACTCGGGAGGCTGAGGCAGGAGAATCGTTTGAGCCCAGGAGGTGGAGGTCGCGGTGAGCTGAGATCACACCACTGTACTCCAGCCTGGGCAACAGAGTGAGACTCCATCTCCAACAAAACACAACAATAGCAACAACCACACACAAAAAAAACAAAACAGAAAACACCAGCATAGCTAAAGCTGATAGATATTTGGGTCAAAAAGGAAAGACAACTGAGCCCAAAACAGACCATCTGGTCAAAACAAAAGTAGTTGAAAATGGTCAGAAGCAGACAATTTAGTCTAGAACTACTTGGTACAAAGCAGAGTCTGGGCAAAAGCAAAAAGACTCCAACTCCAAGTAACTGACCTTTCAGAAGCAGACAAAATTCGTCAGAAAAAAAAAAAAAAAAAAAAAAGCCTTGGTAAACATGTGCACAGCCTCATGCAGTTTGACCGGAAACATCTCAGCCCGGTCAAGGACAATTCAGTAGAAAGAATGTCAGCCGGCCAAAGTGGCTCACACCTGTGATCCCAGCACTTTGGGAGGCTGAGGTGGGAGGATTGCTTGAGCCCCGGAGTTCAAGATCAGCCTGGGTAATATAGGGAGAGCCCATCTCTACAAAATAATAAATAAATATATAAAATGAGCTAGACGTGGTGATGTGTGCCTGTGGTCCCAGCTTCTCTGGAGGCTGAGGTGGGAGGATCTCTTGAACCCAGGAGGTTGAGGCTGCAGTGAGCTACGATCTCCCCATTGCACTCCACCCCAAGTGAGAGAGGCCCTGAATGCACCAAAAATCTGAAGATTTCATTCATTGCTCTGAGGGCTTGGAGTCTGGGAGTTCCTTCGTTTTTTTTTTTTTTTTTTTTTTTTCAAGCGGCTGGGCTCTTGTGTTCCTCCCACCTC